GCGTCGCGTGGCGTGGCGTGGCGTGGCGTGGCGTGGCGTGGCGTGGCGTGGCGTGGCGTGGCGTGGCGTGGCGTGGCGTGGCGTGGCGTGGCGTGGCGTGGCGTGTCGTGGCGTGGCGTGGCGTGGCGTGGCGTGGCGTGGCGTGGCGTGGCGTGGCGTGGCGCGGGCGTGGCGTGGCGGGCGTGGCGTGGCGTGGCGTGGCGTGGCGTGGCGTGGCGTGGCGTGGCGTGGCGTGGCGTGGCGTGGCGTGGCGTGGCGTGGCGTGGCGTGGCGTGGCGTGGAGTGGCGTGGCGTGGCGTGGCGTGGCGTGGCGTGGCGTGGCGTGGCGTGGCGTGGCGTGGCGTGGCGTGGCGTGGCGTGGCGTGGCGTGGCGTGGCGTGGCGTGCGGGCGGGCGGGCGGGCTGTGTTTGTGTGCGTGTGTGTGTGTGTGGTGTTTTTGTGTGTGTGTGTGTGTGTGTTGGTGTTTGTGTGTGTGCGCTTGTGTTTTTGCGTTTGCGTGCTTGTGTGTTTGTGAGTTAGTGTGCGTATGTATTTGGGCTGAGACTTTTGGGCGTCATCGCTTTAAGGCCTCTGCCAAGCTTGCTTGCGTAGCCCACGCTTGACTAGAAGCCAAGTCTTTGAGACGCAAGGCTAGCTCTGGAGAATCGAGCAGCACCTTCAGACACCGGACAGAAGCTCTGGCAAATGTGTCTTGGTCTGTCTTTGGTCTTTGAACAGGGCTTGAGATCCGAACGTGATAGTGCAAGAGCTGCTGCAGCATGTGTTCTTGCCTGCATGGAATGCCCGTTTCAATTCAAATCAAGTCTTTAGAATAGAAGCGCGCCTGAAGTAGACACAGAGGTCAAAAACAAAGCACTGCAAGATCTTGTGGGGCAGGATTTGGAGGCCCAAAAGACTACGCAGGTAGGAGATAACCACGGAAAGGATATAAGGAGATCTGCCCGAAGTGCGGCTTGGCCTTCTGACCGTCACTGGGATGCACCAGCTGTTTGAACTGTCCGCAAGTGTGAGACCTTCGCTTTCAACAAAGTGGGGATAAAATACTTGGGTCACCGCGTCCTTTTCAGACAGAATGGACTGATCCGTGATCTGTGCCTCCAGTTCTTGAAGCGAAATTGTAGCCTGCCTGCTGTTCGCAGATCGCTGAGACATAGCCTCGATCACTTGCCGGTAAGCAGCATTCAAGACCTGAAAGCCCTGCGAGAGCTCCGCTGACTTGGTCTTTGATGCCAGCGCTTTGCGGAGCAATTGAACAACGTAATCTCTGCAACCCGCACGTCGCAAAAGGAGCTTCAGCACCACTGCCACATCGTGCGGCGGTCGCGACAGGAAGTCGTCCAACACAGCACCCATATCAATGCAGAGCTGGCGAAGAACTCTGTGTGTAGAGTCCAGCACAATGCCGCCGCCCAAATAGTCCCATGACAGCCATGAGGTCAGCTCACCATTTTCAGCTTCGCTTTTGCAGGGTACTCCTGTTGGAGCGGTCAAGCTTGGAACAGCATCATGCTCTTTGTGACGAATGTCATAGATCAGAGCTATCCTCCTGCAGCGCAACAGGATGTGCTGAGTTGCGCTTGTGTTGTTCACAGGACACAGCTTCTAGTGAGCTTTGATGGCTCCTGATCCTGCTCCCAAATTTGCACGCTAACTTCAAACAAGTCGTCTTCTGCTAGCGGGCAGTTTCTATCTAGGGCGAAAGCAGATCCCCTCCCCACCAGGTACGACCGTGCAAACAGGGTCAATGAAAAGGTCTTCAAGCTACTGGAAAAATACATCTGCCTCCTATGTGGATCAATGGATGCATGGTCGCTTCCCTTGCAAACAGGTGACTCCGGGATGAATTATTATAGGAGTCCAGAGGAGGGATTTTAACAGAAGGAATCCCAAGGGAGTCCAACCCAAGCAAAACACAAGAAAGACGCGATTTCACTTCCCTTTTGAAGAATCCTAGCCCTGGGGGTTCGCTCCATGCACGAGCCGCATCGAGCAGGAAAAGCGCTTTTGCGTACTTCGTGTGGAACTTGGTCGCGTTTCGAGACCGCTACATCAGCTTTAAGCAATCGGAAAAGTAGTTCCGTGACGAAAGCATTGGTGGCGCTGGGGGTGTCCACCACTGTTGTCAAGGAAGAGACGATACCTTCTTCCCAAAAGTGGAGGCGCCTGCGAACGGTGGAACCTGCTGCACGTGCTTCTCATGTAGCCGTGGGGATGCCGGGAATGTTGTCTATTTGCCTTTGCTTAGCTTGCATGTTTAGCTTGATTTTGCTTTGCTTGCAGACGGGGACGCCATGGGGTTGCCTGTTTAACTTTATGTAGCTTTGTTTTGCTTTATTTAGCTTCACTTGTCTTTACTGAGCTTTATGTATATTTATTTATGTTGCTTCTTTTAGCTTATTTAGCTGTATTTAGCTTTATGTAGCTTTATGGCGTACTTAGCTTTATTCAATTGTAGCTTTATTATTTTCAGGATCCGATTGTTACGTTAGACATCGGGTCCTGCCACTGCTTTACGTCGTCGTGGGGGGCACGTAAAAACTGCTGCTTGGGAGAATATATGCTTGGATTGTTGGCCATCGAGGTGGATGTTGGGCTACAATGTGGGACAACCTGGAGCCAAAATATGTGTTTGTTGTTTAAAACAATCAACAGCGATAGTAGCAGTAGTAGTGTTAGTAGCATAGGCAGCAGTCGTTAGTGGTCGGTAGTAGTCGTAGTAGTAGAAAGAGTTGCGGTAGTAGCCGCAGTAGAAACATAGTATCGCGTGAGGTGCTGATGGAAGCTCATTTGCAAGCTCCAAAGGTACCGGTTTGATGCACGAATGAAAAATGCAACAAAAGCAATCGAAGCCTACAAATGAGGTATGGATCATGGGTATGGATCGTGTATCCTTCAAACGGAATGGATCGCATCGCATGTATCGAGGTATGGATCGTGCGGAACCGGCCCTTCATTCATACCCTATGTTTTGACTCGCAGCCCTAATGCTTGAGCCACTGGCATTGAGTTTGACATGTGGCTCCTTTCAAGACAATGTACCACCAGGAGGTTGTCAACAACGGATAATCGAAGTGGACCAATGCTGGTGTTCGTGTCCGCAACATCGATGACAATGTCGTGCTCTGGCGTGCCCTGCTCCAGATTCGTGACGTTGCGCAACGATACTTTGCCAGTTGCGCCGTCAGCATGTATACAATATGTACAATCATAAATTGTGACCAAAGCAACATCTGCAGGTTCTATAGATTCGCCCCGCGTCAACACCAAATCAAATCGGGGAAGCTTTGGATTCCGTTTGCGAAAATCGAAGGGCTGTAGAGTGCGAGTGCCAGTGCATAACAATGCAGTGGATGCAGCAGCATTCAACCAGCAAATGCGAACAGCTGCAGGAAATGCTTTCAGGGACTTCGCGGTCTTCTGCTCAAAGTTCAAGCGGAAAACTTCGATCCCATGCGTTGTCACCAACGCTAAATCCGAGTTGCATTCTTGCCTCGGACTCTGTAGTTCTGACGGATACGCTCACTGTTGCAACCAAGGCGCTGCCCGCCGGGCAACCAGAAATAGCCCAGGATCTCAAAGTCAGCCTCACGCAATCCCGCCCTTCAGCCATGCTCTCCCCAGCCATCAAAATGGAAAGCGATATCATTAAAGAAAGAAGCGTTCACTCGCGCTCCGTGACTCTCTTTAATTTAAAGTCAGTTCTGAAACCTCCCCACAAAAAGTTCCAATAAATATGAACGCTCATATATGAGCGCATGTTGCCATCAGATTGACAGACAACAGTACAGGGGTGAGGGAGAGCTGCTAGAAGAGTATTCCAGGCAGAAACCTCGTTGATGATCTTGGCGATTGCTCAAAAGAATGCCTTGCGGCCCCTCCCAGTTGCTGATCTGAATGCCTTGAACAACTGTCAGTGTCGATTTGCCTGTGGGGCGAAATTCTCCACTCTTGAACATCGTGGCAGGGCAGAGCAGCGACGAGCTGCAAGAACCTACCCTGTTTTGCTGCTCGCTCAAAAGAACTTCTGGTACGATCGATATCATTGAGCCTGGTGTGCTGAGCCCCGAGCGGTGCATGGTTGACATTTTTTGATAGATGGTGCAAATGCAAGCGCGAGTGCGAGAGCACGTGCAAATGCCACGGCAAGCGCAATTGACAGGGCAAGCGCGAGTGCTAACACAAGAGACGGTGCAAGCACACATGCCAGTGCGTAGCACATGTCAACGTGCAAGCGCACAGCGGGCAGAAGCACGAGTGCTACAAGAATGTGCAAGCAAGTGCAGGCACAAGCGCAGGCTCAAGTGCAACTGCCCATGTGTGTCCAAGTGCTCGTGCAGGTTCAGGTGAAGGAGGGGACCTGGCTGCCTGCTCACTTGAGCAAGCGCTGCGTGTGCGTCGAGCGCGTGCATGTGTGAGGGCATGCGTGCATTTTGATATCCTTCTCCAAACCCACAACGCAGCCTTGTTGTTCCATTTGCTCACTGGCCATGTCGGCGGGAGGCCAGGCCTGAGCAGACAAGCTTCGCCGGCTTCGCCCCTTTGCACGGCTCTTTGGAGACTGGGGCACTGGCTGCATCGTCTGCAAGCACCCCACTCGTTTGTCGCAGAGGAATGCGAAGAAGAGCCCATCTGGTGAGAATCTCAGGGACCTCAAGCCCCGTTGCTCCAGTTTCACAGTCAAGCCATCCGGGGGATTTGATCCTGAAGCTCCATCCAAAACATTCACTGTGGTGAAGCCCCCAGGCTTGATGTGGATTATCCTGACGGCGCAAGGCGGTGCACGAGACATGCACATTATGGCATTGAGAATGGAGTCCTGCGCCATTAGCAAAGCACCATAACATTGAAATTGCTCTAACTTGAGAGGTCCAATAGGTTCTTTTAGGCATTTAGGCAAAGGTCCTGCGATCATCCAACGTGATCTCTTCCCCCGGTTGCCATCGATAGATGGGCTCAGAGAGCTGCAGAGGCTGTGGAGCCATCTGTATCGGATGGATGTGAAGGTAACTGTGAGGCAGTGGTCTGAGGGGAGTGGGGGAGTGTATGTGTGCATGGCAAGGCTAGCCCATGTGGACATGTCCCACTATGGCGCCTGTAGCTGAGCTCAGATTTGTTGAGCTCAAATCTCTGCAGTGTGTGGTCATATATGTGTGATTATCATCAATAAAGAATGGACACTGTTCAATAGCTACAGTTCAACTCTCCAGTGTGATCCTGTGAAACGCGGCATTTTGTGCGAATGCAGCTTGAGCTACAAGCCAAGCGAAGCAAAAAACAGTGTCGTTTGATTGCCCCAAGCCTGACTGACAAACATGACACAACACCAACCAGCAAAGATTCACCGGTCTCTCTGGTCCTCTTCTGTATGGCCACATGTGCCACCCATGTGCTGAGCCATCGCCTCAAACCTGCGAGCTTTGCAAGTTGACTTTCGTTTGTCGCACGGAACACTTCAGTTGTGAACTGTTTCAGCATTCAAACATGACTGCGTCGCAGCTGGCATCCAGGAATCGAGTGAGGGCCCTCTCACCTGGCCGAGTATCTCAAAAACTCACCAAACACCGACCCTGCGCTAGTTGTACGGGCGCTGCCTCGACGACGGATGGCACCTTTCACTGCTCGTGACCTCACAGCACCACTGATGCAACCCTGTCTGAGAAACTGGGGCAGTCCTGGCTCTGCAACAAGTCAGTGGAAGCTTTGGCAAAGGCAATGCTTGCAACAAATGACACTCATCCGAAAGCAGGATTAAATCAAAGAGACCACGGCCTAATGCAGTTGTAGCGCCCGCCTCCAGGCTCGCAAGCATTTCAGAATCAGGTCCCGCAGCCGGTCGTCCGCCAGATGGTCCACAACCTCCCAGAACAGAAGGGCTGTCTACGCATCCTACCTTGACAAATCCTGCAAAGATACCGCACACCAACATGGGCAAGCCAAGGCACATGAGCAACTGCCGCCATGTGGGCAGTTCGAAGCTGCCAATTCCGAGACAACGCTGCAAAGGCGCGCGTCGTGAGCACCTGAAAAAGTTGCATGCCTGCACAGAGATGTATAGTGATGCTCAAGAGCACACGGTTCTGGCACGCCATTTTCATACGTAGGTTCTGCAATCGAGGACTTGGCGCAACTGGGCGCCATAAACGATCCAATATGACCACGAAACAAGGTGGCCGCACGGGGCACATGCTAGAACAAAGCAGTGTGGCTGCAAAAGCAAGTGCCATGACAGTGTCATCAGCCACCACACCGGCGAGCAGACACGGAAAATACCCTGCACCAAATTGATAGTTGGCGTCAGCCAACAGCGTTCTCAATCCGCTCAATATTCGCTCGTGGCAGTCGCGCATCGAAGCAGAAAAGTAACTCTGCTGGTCGTGTCGGACACACTCAGCTATGCCCATCATCTTACTGTATCATCAGCTCTTTCTCCTTGTAGTCCGGATTTCGCCCCTTGTAGGAATCAAACAATTCTTTCAGCTTTTCGCAATATATTGCATGCCACTTCTCGATGTCTTCCTCAGAGAGCATCACGCATCCACGACGTGGATAGGGCCAACAATTCAAAAAAAGAATGCTGGCAGCATCAAATCAAGCTTCTGGGCTGGGATTCTCGATGTGCGGCATCCCCAGAGGTCTACCACGCACATAGGTGAGCTTCCTTGGTAGTCAAAGGAAGCTGGGAAGCCGCTTCCGTGGTACGGAACCAATTGAAAGCTATAGCTCGCGGCCAAAAGGCAAAAGAAGAGTAAGTACGTGCAAAAAAATCAAGCGCATGTTTGTGGCCGGAGAATGGAAATGTTCAAAATGCGCTAGCCTGATCGCAATGCTTGGTGGAAGCGATCTCGGACCAAGCTCGGACCGTATTCAGAGCACTCTTGAAGCCGGGACTATTGGCACGGACGCGCTCGCACTTTACATTAATTTGCGTGGTAGGTGCAGCGCTTTCGAAAGGTCAGGTACAAATTCGGTGGCAGGCGCAGCACTTTGGCGAGGTCAGGTACGGATTTCCTGGCAGGCACTGCAGCTTTCAGAAGATAGCTAGGTAGGTTAGATAGACTAGGTAGATTAGATTAGATAGATAAATGGGTAGATAGACGGATAGATGGATGGATAGAAAGATGGAAAGAAAAATGAAGAAAAAGAGCGACAAAGAAAAGAAGTATAAAGACGAGAGAACAAGACAAAGAAAGAGACAGAGAGAGAGAGAGAGAGCGAGAAAAACAAAGAAAGAAAAAGAGAAAGAGAGAGGCAGAAAGTGAAATGGAAACAGAAAGAGAAAGAGCAAGAGAAAAAGAAGGAGCAAGAAAAAGAAGGAGAAACAGAAGGAGAACGGAGGCGGACGAGGAGGACAAGAAAAAGAAGCAGCAGGAGAAGAAGGAGAAGGAGAAGGAGAAGAAGAAGGAGAAGGAAAAGGAGAAAGAGCAAGAGCAAGAGCAAGAGAAAGACAAAGAGAAAGAGAAAGAGAAGGAGACGGAGAAAGAGAAGAAAGAAAAAGAGAACCAGAAAGAGAAAGAGAAGGAAAAAGACAAGGATAAGGAGAAGGAGACGGAGAAAGAGAAAGAGAAAGAAGATGAGAATGAGAAAGGGAAAGAACTGTAATTATTATGCGTTTGAAATGTCCGACTTTCTGGTAGTTTGTGGGGATCCTGATGATATCCATTGAGCACTACCTCTGCAGCTGGCAAAACTGATGCTTGAGTCAAGAGGCACGCGTTTGGGCAAAGGCAGCAACCAGCGACCCCAGAACAAGGTCACCTGCACGCGAATGCAGCGAGCCAGCTTTGTTCAGCCTAGCGCCGCCAGGTCGCAGACATGCCAAGAGAACGGCTCAGAGAGGCCAGCGGACCCCAAGCTAGGACCGAGAGGACTGTAGTGTTCCTTGCCAACTTGCTCAATGCACAAATGCAAAATGCAAGCTCCAGGCAACAAGGACAACTTGCGACTCAAAGGTGCCCAAAGCAATCCCACGTCCAAGGTACCCAAACATATATACAGGTATCACATCGGCTCCTGCCCTCAAAGCCAGCTTGATGAACCTCAGGTGTTCAGAGATTTCACCCTAGTGACCCCAACAAAGACCAGCAAGCCCAGTCAACGAGATTGGATGCATCCACGTAGCCCTTTCCGCTGCTTGAGAAAAACTACTTCCTGCTTGGGACTCGAGTAGAAAAGTTCAATCAAGCCGCCAATATAGAGCACAAAGGAGCCTGCGGCGTGGGCAGCGTGCAGCATGTGCAGCATGGCATTAATCATTGTCCGCTCATTTGATTGCTGCACTGAGGTAGTTGGGGCAGCTCTCCTCGAGTCAACCGTTTTGCCAGTGTGGAACTGCTGGCATCCTCAGCTGGCTCTGCTGGTTCCCAAGCGTCGGCATACAAATCAAGCATGTCTGACTGCTGCCCTTGCTGCTATAACACCGAACATGCCGATCACATCTTTCAGGATCGGAAATAATTTGATGACAGAAGCAGCTGCCGTAGGAGCTTCCTTGCAAGCTGCGGAGTTGACGGCTGATGGGGGAACATGATTTATAACCCCCCCCCCTCAAGATCAACAAGGTGTTGGAAAACCAGTTTTGGAGGATCCTTTCCTGCGTCAGGCCAACAGGACTGCAATAGGAACGTAAAAGAAAATTGCATTTTAGTTCTTTCGGTTTAACATGTATTCTAACAGCAGGCTGGTTTGACGCTGCAAATTCATGTCTAATCCCGCAAACAGTGATCCAGGTATCAGCTAAAATTGGTTTTCACCCCCCGGATCCAATTCAACAAGGGGTTGGTACTTTAAATTGTTGTTGTTGGCTGGAGAGGGACGTCTTTTATCAGAGGGGGGTTTGGGAGGTGCCATACAATCATTAAGAGGGGTCTTTTGGCCAAACTTTGCCAGTGCCTTTAAAGTAGTATTGGCTGTCGGTCGGCTGGGAAAACCGGGCGTCTGCAATCAGAGGGGGGTTATAAATAATGTGCCGACATAGTAATTCATAGATCCGAGCTGGCTGGCACTGAGTGGCTGCATTGTGGGATTTGCTTGCACAGGCACCGATGGCAAAGAAGCGCCAAAACCATCGGGAGCAACGTGCGTCGAGACCTGCCGAAGGGTAGAGCGGCGCACGTTCCGTGCACGTTCCGCTGAGGGCAAGGCCGCTGCACAAACGCCGACGAAAGAGAACACACCGTGCGGGTGTGCCCCAACAATGAACTTCTTGGACGATGAGCGGAGTTCACCTTGGCAGCGCACATGCTCGCAGTCATTCCACCAAACGGAGCACAGCACCGCACCCATGTGCTGCCAGTGGCTGTCTGAGATTTCATGATACTCTTCATAGTCGAAGTACTTTGGTATCCTGAGCAATCTTTGACACACGAAAGGAAGAGTTGAACCTGTGGAAGTGCTGTTTTGGACTGCTTCCACGGTTCTGGCGCATGGGAGGAGAAGTCAGGATAATATGCCCAAGCCATTCCACTGTCCGCCGTGGAATCAAGAAGGATACAACTAGCCTCGGCACACTCAGAATCGGGGCCTGCAATGAACGACAGGGAATGCATTGGCGTCGGCACCACCAAGTTCATGATGAAGACGAGTGACGGAAAGTTCAATGCCCAGGCTCCCCACCAAAAGGGACTTCTCAATGTGCAGCAAACGGCAAAAGCAACCTTGGCGCGAGCAATGGAGAGTGCAAAATGTCTAGACCAGCCCACACAAGCGGTGGGCCATAGCCAAAACCGAAACTCGCTCCATCTAAACCGAGCACTCCAGTTGTTCTGAGTAGCATGGAGTGGTGCTGCCACATATGTAACTGAGAAGACCGAGGCTGCAAAGAACCCGATGAGTCGCTCCTTGCAAATGCCGGCAAAGTAAGTCGCAGCCGTTGGATGGTTTCAACGCAAAGTGAGGTTGAGCATCCAGTGGAGATCCACCAGGGCTGCAGCGTGTTGGATGATCCAAGACCATGGGGACAAGAATGCACACCCTACATAACCATCAGGCGAAACAAGTGCTA